TAATAGACATGTTAGAAAATACAGAGTAACTGTCCCTGCTTCCCCGCTCCTTCATTTCATGTATGCATCCTTTGCTCTGTTGCAAGTTAAATGGAAGAACCCTGTTCTCAGAGAAACTTAGACTCAGCTAACACAGCGTCTGCTGGGCACATCCCCACTGTACCCTGTCAGTGCAACGCTGGTGCTCAAATACCTGGGAGACATGAACAGCACTCCAGCTTCCCAGCGGGTATTAATAATCAAATCAATCCCAGGCTGTCTTACTATATTTTTAAATATTCAGACAAAAGAATACAGAAGCTAAGTTCCAAGGAGTAGTAATTTCACTTGAAATCCACCCTGACTCTTCAGCTAGTTAGCTTCTGTTTCACATCGTTTTACCTAATTGAGGGTAATTTTCATATGCTCCTGCTGGTCTCCTTCCCTCTGACTTTCTCACTCACTATGCTTGCATCAACTAAGCTGCTGGCCCTAGCTCCCAACCAGGCAAGATAAGCAATATTTAAACAGCTCTGGCTCCTCCTATAGGAAGCCTTAGCTTTTAACCCCCCTCTCAGACCCAAGACACCAAAGCTGAATTCTGGGCTCCCAAATTTACTTCATACACCTAGAAAAGGCCCAGAATTCTGGGTCTCAGGGTTGGTCTTCTGCTTTGGTTCTTGCTCCCTGTACTGCTCTAGCCAATTCTAGCTTGGGGATCAAAACCTACCCTTGACTCCCAGCCCAGTGGCTGCCTCTACTAGTCTGTTTGTAATAAGATGGTCCTGCATTTCTGAAATTAGAACCCTATCCCAAAGCCCTCGAAGGACCCACCTCCTACACAACAACTGCCTACCTGCTTTCTCAATACCTGTGCCACATGCCCCACGAACGTGGGGTCTGCTGCCAGCAAGTCAGGGTGGCATCTGGGTCTGAAACTCCTTTGACTCTGTACCTGACTGGGCCAGCTCTCTCAGTATGTGACCTGCTATCTACAGCAGATGCCTGGGCAGGTTGTGACGTATTCCCAACATCTGCCTCCATAACACCCTGAGAAGCCACCGTACCTCTCTAACCTTAAGATACAACCACTAGAATTCTAATTATTTTTTTCTAAACTGTTTATTTCCTAAAATAATACTAGGCCTTTGGTCATTCCAATTAATAGAGTCATCTTCTTTACCCATGATGGCAACTTAAAATGTTACCTAATGCTAAAGCATATATTACTGTTTTTTGGATGTATATTGATTCTTATGATACCCGACAATATCTATCTGCAGATCGAATAACTCTCTTCTTTTTATCTGTGAACTAACAATCCAGCAATGAGATTATAAAATGAGATATAAATCTGAATCCCAATTCTCTCCCTCCCTAGCTCCCTAAATAAGATATTTAAGCTAAGCCTCAGATCTCTTATTCGCAAAATTGAGAGAGATGGCAGCCAACCAAAGAACAGTGTGAGGCACAAAACACAGTTTGTGGTACATAGTAAGCACTAAAACATCAGCCATCAGTAGCAACAGCCACAGGTTTACATTTGCTTATTTGCAAAGTGCTGGAGTAGTAACAGAAGGAACAGAGCAGGATAAACTTTTCTTATAGTTAACAAAAAGGATGAAGAACAAGGTTGTTTAATAGCTATGGGAGATAAACTTGATGGCAGAAAAGAGAATGGAAGAGGCAGAGGGAAGGTCAAATAAATGGCAAGTGGAAAACTTCACAAAGCAAAGTGCAGTATTCCATGAGCATCTGTAAAAGGGGGCCAAGGACACAGGTCTTCGTGGAGGGCATGGCCTAGAGGACAGTCAGGAATCCCCTGCACTGGCCAGCGTCTAGAAGAGTTGATTGAAGGGCTACAGAGCTTAGCCAATGGCATGGCAGGAAGAGAGGCTTTATTCCACCTGTTCCTCCCTCAAAAGGGAAATGTTCATAATCCTCTCTTGCCCAATTATTCTCAGCACAAATTATCCTCCTCTTAAAACAAAACAGATCCTCTCCTTCTCCATCCCCATCCTTCAAACCTTACTTCAAATATGACCTCCTCTATGAAGCCTTCCCCAATTCACCCACAGTTTCATGCTTCCATAACACGTATTTCTCTTTCTGTCCTGCACACTGTACTACAACTGTTCCCATCCCCTTCCCATCCAGCCCCACGCTCCTTAAAACAAAACCTGTAACCTATGCAAGTCTGTCCCTCCAGCATCTAGCGTGGAGCCAGGTGAGTGAAGGCTGAGAAGCCCCTGGGCGCCCTGCACTGCCGCAGGCAGAAACATCAGGACCACAGTTCCTAACACTTGGGCGACATGGCCCCAGCTTTGGAAGCCTGAGGACAGCCCCAGACCTTCAGCCTAGAAAAATACCCACACACGCACTAACTCAACACACACACATGCACACACACACGCATGCACAAACGAACACAAAGAGCATTAAGCTAAAAGTCAAAATATCTGAATTCTAGATTCTACTCCCTGGTTCTGTCAAAAACTCCAAGTTTTCAAAGAAGTCACTTAACTTCTCAATTGACAAAGTGAAAATAAACTATCATTTCCCTTCAACTGTCCTTCATTAGATATCTGTAATAAAAATACATATATATAAAAAGTGTGGAATTCTGAAATTAAAATTGTTATATATGAGCAAATTATTTTTTTATATTGCCTCACAGCTTGATACTTTTATAGCTATCTATTTTGCCAAAAAACATGCTGTGAAATAAATTGACTATTTACTACAATAGCAAAAAGAACTATTGTTTTTTTTGAAAACCCAAAGGCCCTACAGTTTACGTACCCAGGAGGGGTGAGCACAACAAGTGTAAAGAAGCAAAGATGAATAATCCAATTAATTCGCACTGGTTCACACCACTGACTACAGATTCCTTTGATAACAATATGCTTTTGTGCTTGCAAACCTGTAATACAATTGGCCAGTATGCTTTGAAATGTTTCGATTCTACACGCCAGGGATGCTTGATGACAGTCTGAATACTCTCCCCAGTTTGAACCGACAACTGTCACAGGTGGGCTACAGCGAACAGAGCTCTCCTCTCCAGATTGGGAAGCTGTGAAACACTCTAACTAATGAGTCCTAAGAGACATACCTAATAGGGCTGGCTTTAATATAAACAGCAACTGTCAGGTAGCCACCGTGAAGACCCTCGGGGGCGTTACAGGAACAGCGTAAGTTAGGAACCCTGGACTACCCTCGACACTTCAAATCTGAAAGCTGAAGAGGCCCATGCACACACCAAGGCTGGCCCTCTGTCACTGCCCCCGCTCTACTCCTGCCAGCAACCCCAAAAGTAGGGTCCTCCTTGACAGTCTCAGCCTTTCTCTGTATCCATGGATATTAACTATAAAACAGAAAAACAACAAGCTATGTCTATGTAGCCTCAATGTTTTGACTGTGGAGATACTATAAGAAATCTACAAATTCTTATCTACTTAACTAACTCCAGTGACCCAGGAATCCACAAAATTAGACCTTTCAGGGAGAACCACAACTTTGTTTTGTTGAGTCTTAAAGCGGGTACAGATTTCGTCTAGAGCTAAAGGCACCAAGGCAGAAGTAAGAACGCCCAAGTCCGAAATCTGTCCTCCTAGAACTCAACAATGATAAACACCTTTACCTCCAGCCTACTGCCACCTTCTTAGGCGTCCTGCCCAAAACAGTGCTTCTGAAGATACCAGGGAAGAATGTGCTCGCTGGGCTTTACTACAAATAAGTGAAAGACAAGGGAAATGATGCAACCATTTATTTAGTTAGTTAGTATTTATTTATTTATTTATTTATATGCTTATTTTAGCCATCCCCTGCCTCAGCCAAAGACAGTAAGGATGCCAGGCGACTCGGCCTTGTTCTTCTAAACAATCTCTGCAGAGCTCAACAGATGCTCTACTATATGCACTCTATTCTTACTCTTCACCAGTCAACACCTAATCAGCTCCAGACCTATCCAACTTGCTAACAATTCTTCTGTTTCTTTCGATTCTACCCGCATTACTCCTCAAGTCAAAGGAAGCCATCTTTCTTGTCCTTCTTTGACTCATCTTAATTATAATGCTGCCTCTTTACTGTCAAATGACCTCTAAGAATATTTTCTTTGGCTTGACCGAGCCCTAATGTCTTCTTGGACCTGGTCAACACTGTGCTCGGTGATGCTCTCAAGAAAAAAGGAAGTGAACCAAATCAATCTATGTTCCTAGGACTTGGAGCCAACCCTTAGCTGTGCTTTCAAGGAATCAAGGGGAGGAGACTATATCCACAACTGGCAGCAACGGGGGTGGGAGGATGTTCTGGACTAGGATAATTAACTTTCGTAAAACACTCTGCACTTAACTTCACAGCATTAACCAAAATCATTCTTAAATTTGTGTAAGTGTGATTAATATGTGTCTCTTCCTGACTGCACCCCCCACCAGACTAAAAAAAGCTCTAGGAGGGCAAGAACTATGTCATTTTGATCATGACTAATTTCCCTGAGTCACAAATCACTGGCACACAAGTCTAACTCAGTTACTCTAGCCCTGCCAGATGAGACAAATTAAGCTTATGTCTCAACAAAGTGCTGGTATAAGGTAATACTTCCCACACTCTGGGTGACTTAATAATAAGAACTAACGTTTCTTGACCTGCTCCCATTGACCTGACACCATTTGCAGATTTTTACAGGTTTCTCATTTAATCCTCACGACAAGCCAATGAAGTAGGTGCTATGATCATTCCCATTTTATGGATGAGGCATCTGAGGCACAGAGAAGTTATACAATTTGCTAAGCATGTTACAGGGAAGATAGACCACCAAGGAGAGAGCAAGGAAAACAACTCAAATCATTCAGTGTCTGCCCACCAGCTGCTTCTATGTCCCAAGCATTATGTGGCCCGTTTCTGAGGCAGACACAGGGCCTGAGGGGTTCCATAACTGCTTAGTTTGTGATGTCCCACTGATGCACCATGGGATGCAGAAGGCCCTGAGAAATCCACAATTAGAAAATGAAAATTTAACTCACCTTCCACTGCTCCTCTGGAAGCAGCTTCACGACAACCAGGTCCCCATTCAAGGCTCTATTACGAGCAACAACCCCATCAATAAAAATGTCTCGATCGCCATCCTAAGTTGGAGAAAGAAATAAAATAATCAGCTTACCGAAGCTTGAAACCAAAAATTACTTCCTTGGTTTAAAAACTGTACACTCCACAGTGTGTCCGCTGATTTCATAGGAACTGTACACAGCCACAAGCAGACCTAGAGAGAGTTCATTCTCTTTGGAATTAACAGAAATGGTGATGGACACAGAAGAGCACATCAACAGAATACAGGGAGGCCAAAAACAAATGAAAGCGCATAAAGCAAAAAACTGGGGTGGCATGTTTTCATAACTCAAATAAGAAAGGAGTAAGGACTTCCGCCAAGATGGAGGTATAGGTGGATGTGCCGTGCCTTCTCACACAACCAAGTTTAGGGACAACTAAATATTAGCATCAGAAAACACAACCAGAACACAGAAAATTGAACTTTTCGGAAGTCCGTTAACAACAAATTCTTCAGCCCGACCGGTAAGGGGCGAAACCGGCATCTGGTGAGGGGTTGCACAGGAGGACTCGGTCGGACAGACCCAGGCGTGGAATCCAGACGTGCGAATCCAGACGCACGGGTTCCAAACGCAGGATTGGACCTAGTGAGCGACCGATCAACCCACCAGGTGAGCAAACTGCAGAGGAGACAGTGGGGAGGCGGTGCTGCATGTTGACTGCGGTCGCCTATTTGCGCGAGAGCGGACAGGCGAGGGAGTGGGCGGCTGGACCGGCCGCGGCGGTAGTGGGCTCCGCCATTTCCCCGCTCTGACCACGCCTCCACATACAGCGTCACAACCCAGCGACCTGGGAGTCCAAGGCGCCGCTTCTCTCACTTAAAGGGCCAGAACAGACCAAAAATGTCGCAAGAAGACCTCAAAGCCCCAGAGATAAATCTAAGCGACGAAGAAATAGCAAAACTCTCAGACGCACAGTTTAAAACACTGGTCATCAGGATCCTAACAGATCTGGTTGATTATAGCCACAAATTAGAGAAACATATGAAGGCTAAACTAATGGAAATGAATGGAATTCCACAGAAAACCAATAGCGATGAAAAGGAAACTGGGACTCAAATCAATGGAGTGGACCAGAAGAAAGCAAATAATGGCCAAACAGAAAAGAGTCAAGGAGCAAGAATTCAAAGAAATGAGGAGAGTCTTAGGAACCTCCAGGACATCTTTAAACGCTCCAATATCCGAATTATAGGGGTACCAGAAGGGGGAAAGGCACAGCCACCAGTGGAAAACTTATTTGAACAAATAATAAAAGAAAATTTCCCCAATCTGGCAAAGGAAATAGACTTCCAAGAAATCCAAGAAGCTCAGAGAGTACCAAAAAAGTTGGACTCAAGAAGAAACACACCAAGGCACATCATAATTACATTAGCCAAAATTAAAATGAAGGAGAGAATCCTAGAAGCAGCAAGAGCTAAGGGGACAATCACCTACAAAGGAGTCCCCATTAGACTGTCAGCAGATTTCTCAAAAGAGACCTTACAGGCAAGAAGGGGCTGGAAAGAAATATTCCAAGTCATGAAATCTAAAGACCTACAACCAAGATTGCTCTATCCAGCAAAACTTTCATTTAGAATGGAAGGACAGATAAGGTGCTTCTCAGATAAGATCAAATTCAAGGAGTTCATCATCACCAAGCCCTTATTATATGAAATGTTAAAGGGACTTATCTAAGAAAAAGAAGTTAAAGAAACATGAACAGTGAAAGGACAACAAACTCACAGTTATTAACAACCACACCTAAAACAAAAGCAAACTACAAGGACAGCTAGATCAGGAGTGGAAACATAGAAATGAAGATCTCGAGGAGGGTTAGCAACAGGGGAATGGGAGGAGGAGATGGGGGGAGAAGGTACAGAAAATAAGTAGCATAGACAGTAGATAGAAAATAGATGGGGGGGCAAGAATAGCATGGGAAATATAGAACCTAAAGGACTTGAGACACATGGACATAAACTAAAGGGGGGTAATAGTGGGGATGGGGGGGCAGGGGGGAGGGGAATGAAGGGGGGAATAGAACAACTGTAACAGCATAATCAATTTTTAAAAAAATTAAAAAAAAGAAAAAAAAAAAGAAAGGAGTAAGTTACCCTTGGGTCATCCTTTTTTAAAAGTAAAATAAAGCATGCTGATATCTTTTCTACACGAGCTGATTTTTTTAAATAAAAGAGTAAAGAAAAATAGAAGGACTGCAAGAAAACAGAAGAACAACAGCACATAATCCCTCAGGAACACTAAGAGCAGCAGCAGCAGCAGCAACCAGCTCTAGGATCTGGGATCTCCAAGACCAGCAAAGTCATTTGCCCCCAGGAGCCCTGCCCAGGAAAATGGCGGAGAGGAAACTGGAGTTGTTTTTATGGAGACCTAAGGAGGAGGCAAAGGAGAAAAGGAAAGGGACGTAAAATGAGGTTCATAAAGCTCTCTCACGCTCCACCTCCCTCACTGACCTAGGAGCAGGGCAAACCCCAAACTGTGAACACAACAAGGCCCGAACGCCTTCAGCCCCAGTCACAGGCTTATCAACAACCCACTTGAAGCAGTGGAGCCCCAGTGAACCCCCAGGTATCAACTGCTAAACCTAAATTAGTGCCAGGCTACTTTGTAAAAACACTTATATGGAAAACACAGCTAAGGAAAAGTACGCCTTCACGGTAAGTGACAAAATTAAGCATTTTCAACGTGTTTCATCAACAAACACACAAACGTACTCTCATCCTTTTATCCTTCCAAAAGTTAATACCATATGCTTCCTTTCAGAGGATGAGAGAAGTAAAATGTCCATTTTCCTTAGAGGAGGTAACAGGAAACCCATTTGGAAATTCAAAGTTTTCTAATAGACACTTGATATAGAATGGATTTAACATTCAACAGTTGACTGCAGGGAATTACTATGACATGTTAGTCAAAGTTAAAATTAGCATTCCAAACTCACCACCCCCATGGGATTTTAGACACTCAGCGATTTTTATACTTTCCAGTTACAAACCATTAGAGATCTTTCAGCACAGTCTTCCTGCTCAGTTTCCAACCTAGCCGTGGGCTGGAAGCTGCAGCCCACACACTCTGCCAAACCTCACCCACCCCAGCCCTCAGGACCAGCTACCATGTTAGCCACAGAGACAGAGTTACTGCAGCTGACCTCAGGACAAGCTTCTCCAAGAAACAGCACACAGAGAGGCAGCCAGCACACAGAGGGTGAGCAACGAAGTGTGGCACAGCATCCTTGATCAGTGCCTTCTGCAATTGAAAGCAGCAGGATGTCTCCGGCTTCCTAAGAGTGAAAATAGAGCTGCCTGCATATAGGTCACACTACCCATTATCATGCATCAAAACATACGCAATGAGGTGCCTGTCTGATAAATGGGCTACACCACCCTTAGCTCAGAGACGTCAGCCGAGATAAGACACTAGCATTGCCATGTTTCTCACCCAGCAAACCAACAGAAGCAGGGCTGAGTAGAACCTCAGACAACACATAAATCTGTAACTATTACATCACTATTCAGCTCTTACTTCCTTCATTCAGAAGCCTGTATGTGTTGCAGAACCTCTTACTTTAATGATACAAAACTTGGGAACACCTCGATGTTAAAAGTTTGAGTAATCTCTCTTAACAACTTCTTAAGGCCAAAGGTTTCAGCCCTTTATTTGAATGCCAGAAGACTTGCTTTTACCCATCAGAAAGAATAGGAAAAAAAGAAAGAAAAAAAAAACAACTGGATAATGCCCTGGCTGGTGTAGCTCAGTGGATTGAGCACGGGCCTGCGAACCAGAGGATTGCAGTTTGATTCCCGGTCAGGGCACACGCCTGGGTTGCAGGCCAGTTCCCAGTGGGGGACACATGAGAGGCAACCATACACTGATAGTTCTCTCCCTCTCTCCTTCCCTTCCCCTCTAAAGATAAATAAATATTTTTTTTAAACTGGATAATGAACAACCCTAGAGGAAGTAAACAGGGAGCTGGGGGTAACCTAACTCTATATCTAGAAGTCAGAGGGGAAAGGACAGCCCAAGTACGCGGGGATGATCAGAGCATCCTCCATCAATGGAATAGCAACTTTTGGACCCGAAATCCATTCCACAAACGTATAAAGGGTGCCTTCCATGACAAGATGCACCAAAAAGCTACAAAACTTAATTTATTTGAAACGTGTTTTTTTTTTAAAGCCAGGTTTTTACATTGGGTCCATTTCTCCTTTCTATCTTATGCCCAAATAGAATAAAAAGTCATCTTAATAATATCAGATCATCTTGGTTTGCTTAAAGTCACATACTTTTATTCTAATTCTGTCTTACCTTTTTCAGTTCTGCAGGAGGGAGCAGTTACACATAAAAGTGATTTATTCCATGTATTTTGGGTTTGTCGTGGGAAAACAAAAATCGACTTTTTATGAGTAGAAATTATAATGAATTTAGGTCAGGTTCCCAAAACACAAATCTCTTCTATACATGATGATCAGTTCACTGATCCCAGTCTCGTGACTTAAGCAGATATTCGAACATTGCAAATGACACTGCATAAGTTCACAATATTCTTTTAGAGTCAGTAATTTTAGAATTCTAGATAATTTCATCAAATCCAGTCTATTTTTGACTCTCCAAAAACTTAGAATTTTGAGGTTGATAGGAACATTAGATAATATTTACAGAATGTTTGATGCCCCCCCTCATTTTACAAATAAGAAAACCTCTGTTTTTTACTGTCAGAGCAGAGGCTACATCTTCTTTAAAGCCAGCTCCTGTCTCTACCCTCCTTGCTCAAGGAACTGTAATGTTCAGGCCCTGGTTCTGACACCCCACCTCCCAGTGCACCTGTGAGCATTTTCCAGTTCATATACGTTCGCACTGGACACAGACATGAGCCACATAGACTCAGAGATCCAAACCAGTGGTGGGATCCATCTACATTTAATTTACTGCCACTACTATCTCCTTCTTCTAAAACCTGAAACTGACCCCACAACCCACAAAAATAGAATGCAAGATTGTTCCAGTGCCCCAAACTGGAATATCTGCAATCACTTGCAAATGGACCTTGACAGAGCTTTTACAGTCTGTTCTTCATTACTTAAAGGTAAATCATTAGCATTTTTTCTCCCTCTGAAACAATATTACCACTCCATCAGGGCAGATAGGAGAATAAAAGAGGTACAGAAATAAGCCAATCCTAATATCACAACTGTCAAAAAAAAGTCTAAATAGGACACGCCAGGAATACAATTTCAAATACAACAAGTTTAGCTTTTGAAACATCAATATGTTTTATTTCTTAATTTCCTTTAACAAGCCAGATTAAACAATGGTGACACATTATTTGCAAATTTAATTCACATAAATTTAAGTTACAAAAACCTAAACTAACTAGGCCTCACACTTTAAGGGACCTCTGCTCTGTCCTGCCCTCAGCCACACTCCTCCCCATCAAGAGTGCTCAGGGCCAAATGGATGTGTATCCATCCCCATTGGTACTCAGCCCCAGATCCACTTCTGGCGCACACACTGGCATCTTCCCCAGGTCTGTCTCCCTGAAGGCAGACTAGGTCATAGGTGGCACCCCTGGATTCGACAGGTGAGTTCTGCACAGAGACTGGATGTGTGGGGTAAGATGCCCACGCAGGTGTATGCAAGGACCCTTGCAAACAGGGGATAGGGGGCCAGGACTGGGGAGTGCAGAGGGGAGTGCAGGCAGAGGTGGGCCCTCTCCGTGCAGCTCCAAAGAGTCTGAGAATTCTACACGTGAACCCAGGTTCATGGAAGGTAGATTTTCAAGGAATACATTTTATTTGTCATGAATATATTTTACTTAACAGCTTATTAGTTTAATTTATAACTTTTAAGTATTCAATACAAGGTATGTATGCCTCCTTGTGCACTCTTGTCCTCTGCCCCACACTTGTCAGGGGCCATCCTAACAGGGCTCTAACTTAGGGAAATTCAGTAGTGGCTACGCAGGGGAGAGGAAGCGAGCAGTGAAAATTTTAGAACGCTCCATGCAGTTCCCCTTACCGTTCCAATCAGGGAGAGCAAGTCTCAGTGCACGCAAGAGATGAAGAATGTGAAACTTGCTTAATCTCTTGCAAGAGAAGTTTCACACTCTTCATCTCTTGCTCAGTCCCCAGGTGCCTCTCAGAATGAACTCCTCTCCACAGTGCCTGTGATTCCCAGCCTTAAAAAACCGTGTTTTTCACATACCAAGGCTGCTAATCCAACGAAGCTCCTTTGACTGATACACCAAGAAGGAGACAATCACTCTTTCTACTGGGGAGAAAACACTGGCTATGCTGGACTTACTGAGAGATGACTCTTACCTGTCTCCAACACGGCATATGCCTAAGAGATTTCCACAGGTAACTTTTATAAATACTGAATGCGATTTTCTCCTTATGCACAAACTCTGGAACCTAACACCTATATAGAATGTGCTTTCACTTATGACGGAACTGCTCCTGCAGCTAAGGCACCTCCTCAAAGCTGACCCTCAGTTCTACAATCCACATACTGAGGTTGGCATACACACCCCGTTCTGTCACAGGAACGGAATATGACTCAGAGAGAATCAGCTTTGCACAATCAGCTATGTACAATATTATTAGTTTTGTGTGTTTTGGATACTAATATTAGTTTATTAGTTTATATTGTATGTTTTTTCAACTACACACAATATTATATGAGTGTCAGTGATTAGACATTTCTATAACTTACGAAGTGACCACCCCATGAGTATAGTACCCATCCGACACCAGACACAGTTATTACACTATTACTAACGATTCTGTAACTACCATTTTGTACTTCTTATTCCCCTCGCTGCCTTCACCCAGCCCCAACCCCGTCCCATCCACAACCATCACTTTGTTCTCTATGTCTATGAGTTTGTTTCTATTCTGTCTTCTTCGTGTTTTAGATTCCACAAGTAAGTGAAATCATGTGTCTTTGTCTTTCTCCATGTAATTTGTTTCACCTAGCATAATACCCTCTGGGTCCATCCACGTTTTTGCAATAGCAAGATCTCTTTCTTTTTTATGACTGCGTAATATAAATGTATTGCATCTCCTTTACCCACTCATCTATTGATAGACACTTGGGCTGCTTCCACATCTTGACTGTTGTAAATAATGCTGCAATGCACACAGAGGTGCGTTTATCTTTTCAAATTAGACTCTTAGACTGCTTCAGACACATACCCAGAAGTGGAACTGCTGGGTCATATGGTAGTTCTGCTTTTAATTTTTGAGGAACTCCATACTGCTCTCTCTACTGGCTGAACCAACTGACAATCCCACCAACAGGGCACAAGAGCTCCCCGTGCTCCACATCCTCCCTTTGGTTTCAGTAACACTTTTTTGTCTAATACAGTGGGTAAGACCGGAACCTGAAATACATGAATCCTTGGGTTCTGGAGGAGAGGGGAGAAAGATAACAAACTCAGCTCGAGAACAAGTTTAAGGTTACTGTAACAACAACAATCATATCTGTGAAGTACACGACTACACCTGTCATGTAACATAATGAAGTACATTAAGTGAAATATATGCATTCCATTTCCTCGTTTATAAGCAAAAGTTTATTTCTATGGTCTTTTCCACCCTGAAAAATCTGTAATTCTACTGCCATCCTATTTATGGTGTCCTGGAAAAGTTAGGTCAGGAATTTGAGAACGTTGCTCTCCCAGCTTTGCACAATCAAGCCTTATGCAGAGACCTGCTGCTGACTGTATGTCAAAGTGAACTTCCCCTAATGGGAGACAGCCTATTAAAGTGAGTCATGAACACAAGGGAGGATATGAAGGCCCCGTGGTGTGGAGCCTTGTACCAAGTCCTATCACCTGCATAAAAGTGATGTGAGAAACTCTGACCAAAAGAAAAAAAAAGCATTACACATTATTTTTGGACAAATGTGCAGATTAGCTCATGCAGCAGATTGAAAGTAGATAGCATATTTGTTTAGGAAAGATTAACTTAAATCAGTGGAAAACCCATAAATCCTTTTAAGCTACAAACTAAGGACGTCCAGTGACACAAACTGGTGGGTGTCTGCATGGGCGCAGCTGCTCCGCAGCCCAGCCACAAACAAAAAGCCACACTGCTTTCACGGCGGTGTGGCTTTCAGACTGGCAGAAAGGGCTGTTAAGCAGCGTGGCTTTCAGACTGGCAGAAAGGGCTGTTAACCACAGGCAAATCTGTTTATCTAAGTCTGAAACAAATCCATGTCCATTCTCAATTTTGTTTTAGTACTCTGCTTTTTAGTTGGAATATATTATTTCAGTTTGAGAACACATCTAAAAAATTAAATGTGACATTAAGTTTATTATAAAATTATTGAACTTACCGGGGAAGGAATGAAGGCTTCATGAAACTTCTTTGGATTAATTCTCAATACACCCTTTAAAATAAAAATGAAATCTATTAAAATTTAACTACTTACACATGTATGATTTTTTCTATACTTATGTTACTCTCCAATAAACAGCTCGATCTAGAAACAAGCTGGATTACGAGAACTATTCATTAAGTACACGAAACATGACTTACCTCTGCACCTGTAACAGAGTCCGCAGACACCCACCTCCCACTGCGCCCAGCCCCAAGCAGACGGTAGGGAGCAGTGGAAGGGCCTGGAGTGCAGCGGGAGAGCGGCCGCTGCCGGGGTTTTATGTGCCCCTCTGTGTCAGTCTTCAGATTGTAACTCTTACTTCAAGAACAAGGTGATCAGGGGATTACACCTAACTACACAATGGCCTTCTTAGTTCTCTGCACCTTTCTACAATTGCTTGTTTCTGTGAAAATTTTCGAAGTGAAACAGGTTGATTTCCAACCTGGAAACAGCCTGTAAGGATTAGGTGTATATTTTTTACTCTGGCCCCTCAGCAGAGCTGAATAAGTCAATAAATCAAAATGGTCTAGAACCAGCTCTTAATGTAAATGGGAAGCCTGGCTCCAACAGCCGGGCCACCCAGTCTGCCTTCAACTCCATGTTATTCCAGCACCAAATCAGGGTCTGCTTCTATTTATGCACAGCGGCACAGATGGGGGCTGTCTTCAATAACAGGTCAGTATTCTGGGCTCTTGCAGGAAGCTGTAACCCTCCCCGCGTCCCAGCTGCATCTGAAGGCCACTGGAACACATGGATGGAGGCAGTTATTTTCCTAAGAGCCAGAACTCAAAGAGTGTCTTGAGAAAGTGTTTTAAGCAACACTTCCCCCTCTGATGTTGAAAAATTCAAAGATACATAATTAACAAAACAGGTGAGGGCATAAAATAAAGCAGAAAATAATTCTTCCTTTCATGTTTAAATTACAAATTTCCATGCAACAGTTTCTACTACCATTAACATCCCAGTAAGACTATTACAAATGCTCATTCAGTCCTTAATTCAGTAATTATTTCTTCAGTTCTGACAATGTTCAAGACCCTGAGACAGACCACATGGGAGAAGGAGTGATGGCCAAGCTCTGTCCCTGTTGAAACATGAATGAATGCTGAGAGGGTACAGCTGACTTCTAGCTGGAGGCACTCAGACAGGCTCCAGAAACGGTGTCTGACCTGGTCCTTGATGGAGGAGAAAACTTTCAGATAAATCAGAAAGGAAATACAGGCAGAGTGATACAAGCAAGAGTGACTAAGAGGACAAATGCTCTTCTTCTCTCAGGCTGAAACTCTGCTTAGGGTAAGAGGCAGAGGGGCCAGAAGGAAAGGCCGGCAAAGCTTGCTGCGGCCAGACCGGCAGCAGCTTCGCTTCTCAGACAGATCCTTTGTGTTGGGGAGAGGAAGGAAAAAAGCTTATCCTAAATCTTCATCCATTCATTCCACAAACAGTCCTAATAAGTAGGATGACAGGCAGCGTGCTAAGTCACGGGGACACAGTGGAGAGTGACACAGCCTCTGCTCTCCTAGAGCTCACAGTCTAATGAGGGGAAGACACTCCAAATAAATGGAAGTAGATTCATTGATGTTAATTTTTTTCATTTATTTTCTGACCCCAGGCATTTTTTCTAAGTTTCTATTATTTTCAATTGCTGTTCTTCTAGCATCCCTTCTAGCTCCATGAACAGCTAGTACATGAAGTCTAGACTGCAGAACGCCTCCTGCTTCCACAGTGCCTTTAAGTACAGAGCACTGAGAGAGGCCAAGGCTGGGCTCAGGGGAAAGGGACAGCTTGCTTAGGGCTGGAACGAGGCTCTACTTAAAAGAAGAGATATTAAAGGGACCTTAAAGATTCTCTTCTTGATTTTCTACTCCAAACTACACGATGTGTAAAAGCACACGGCAGGACGGAAGGCCTGCTCCAGGAGAAGGGCCGCACTCCGACAGCAGCGGATCCCTGAGGACTGGCCCTCGGCATGCCCTTGAGAGCACAGATCACGCGGAGGAGGGAGGGACTTGAACAGGGTCCTCAGCAGACCAGAGTCACCTCCACAGCCTGACAGAAGGAGCTCTCAGTAAAGCACGGAAGGAAACGATCTTTTGACTAAGAGACTTCCAGCAGATGTTCTGTCTTACCTAGGAAGTCCAGCACTTCCACTGTCATATTCTTACGACTGTTGCCTGGTCTGCCCCAACCCCTTCCTCCTCCTCGACCCTTGCCTAGGCCTGGAGCTGGACCGTGAGGCTCCAACAGGCTCCCTCTTGTCTCTGAATGCTCCTGCACCTCCTCGACTTAGTCAAAACCTGGCTGTGCCCTGCCATGCCCCCCTTCCTCGCAGGGCTCTCAGGAAACCACTTCTTTTCTCCATTCCACTACCTCTGGGGCCAGAGGAAGAATGTTTCCCCCTTGTTTCCCCACTGTGGCTTTAACATCTTTTTTCTCCATTCTCTTTCAAACCGCTGTCCCACCCCACCCCACCCCCTGCCCTGATCCTTCGAAGTTCACATCCTTAGCTCCTTCTATACCTCCTAGCAGCAGCATCTTCAAACTGGGTCACAGTCCTGATTCACTAACACTTTTACTTGTAGTTCACTGTCCTCCTCTTCACCACACAATCCTATAAACACTTAACGGGACTTCACATCCATACGATGAGCAGGCAGCCCTGGCCAGTGGTTTCAGCCTGTGTCTTGTCATCAGTGCTAATCACACCACCTGCAAACGCCCACACAGACCAAACAAAACACGTATAACACCTTCTGATTAAAATCTTCGGGCCTTCAGCTCACTTACGGTAGAAAAACCACTTCAATGACTCTTTGTCTTCACTACGACCTCCAACCCATGGGCCTCACCACATTCTGACCCTCTGTCATCATCCCACTATGTGTAGTCCCTTCCTTGGCTACCTTGCTGCCACGGCCTGTCGTTACCTCCTGTCATTACAAACCTGGAACCTTGAGGCTACTCGTCCTCTTATATCTGACTAGTAAAACCCCACTCTCAGCTGACCCCAACTATCTTTTCTATGCCTAAACCCAAGAAGCTGAATGTCACTGTAGAAAAATACCCCACAACTGGGCTAATTAGCCTAACTTGGCAATCACAAACATGTTTTACTTGGCTTAAGGAATGTTTGAGAATACTCAAAACTGAAGAATTTCACACATAAATATGTATTTCCAGATATTCTTGAAACACCAGCTAACCCCACATGGCAGCCACCACCTGAGTTGAGTAACAGATACTTCTCTTACAGCAATAACAGCAATTGCAAATAACACACCAGCACACCACACGTCATACCCAGTTTGAAGGGGCTTCTATCTATCCAACTAACTAACACTTGAACCCAGGCAAACCCATGAGGTAGGTGCTGCTATTCTCCGGTTTACAAATGAGAAAAGTGAGGCACTGAGCGGTGCCCACTGTCACCCCACGTTCAAGCCCAAGCCGTCTGGCTCCAGAGACCTTGCTCCTAACTGCTGCAGACTGCCTCTGTCTCCCTCTGTCTGCCTCTGTCTGCCACGGTCACCCGGGGCCTCTCCACTCACTTGCATCATCTGCCCCCTCCCCCTAGGAATCCTGCACCACATTCCAACCCTCAGGCTTCCTGATCTCGGTGAATGACAGCATCACCCAGCCAGCCGCTCACCTTACATACTTGGGGACCAGCCTGTATTCCTCCCTTTGCCTCACCTTCCACAGTTAAGCCATCCGTACGTCACGGCAGTTCTAACTCCTATTCTACCCACCTTGTTCACAGCTCCACATGTTCCTGCCTGGTGTATTCTGATGTCCTTCTACATGGTCTCCCAGCTTCCACTCTAGTCTATTTGTCTTAAAATTGCCAGTGAGATGTTTTTAAAGCATAAAATAGATCATGTCCTTCCTTTGCTTAACACATTTTGGTGACTCCCCACCATTCTTTAAATCAAATCCAACTCTCCAACACAGCCCAGAGACCTTACATGATTTGGTAGCTGCCTAACTCTCCAACTTACTCCCATATGGTCATTCCCTTTGTCCAACAGACTTCCTCCCTCGTCCTCAAAAACACCAAGCCTTTTTTCTGCTTGCTTTTTCTTCCACTAGTTCATCTCTCTGCCTATAATGTTCTTTTCCTAATCCTTCACATGGCTAGCTCATTCTCACCCTTCAGATCTTGACTCAGAGATCCCCACCTCAGAGGTGATTACAGAACTGGTCACAGGCTGTAATTTCCTCTATTTCTCTAGTCATTTTTGCTCATCTCCCCAGTGAAACGCCTGTCTGTTATATGCTTTGCACTTAGTAGGCAGTCAAGAAAGATTTGTTGAGCTAATTAACCAATGTCTGCAGAGCTGATTTCTCCCACCACCCCCTGGTATTAATGTTATGAATGTCATCTCCTCCTTCTAAATGATTGTGTGGTCCATTGCCATGTCACCTCTATTTCTCTCTTCAATCCACAGCCAACGTTCTCCAGTTGATTTCACTCTTAACAAATGGTGTCAGTCTAGAAACTAGCTCCTCCTCGCCTGTCCTCCCAAACTAGGATTTCTTCTGAGGCCCAATAACAGCTTTACACTGATATTCTATTGGAACTCCGACATCATGTCCTGGGCAGCTCTGGCAGCTCAGCCTGAACCACCTGCAGACACAGCAACACCTGGGATGGTGAGGCCAATCAAGTCCACCACCTCCCTACCCGTGCCACTTTGGACATCCCCCAAACCTGAGCCCCTTCCGAGACTGTCCATCCCATACTCTCAATTTCTCCCAGCGTCTCCTATATCAACCTTCCAACTGTCTACCTACATTAAAAGAAATGACCTATGTTCTTTGATGTGAGAACTTGTTTATCAAAATATCTTCAAAACTACATGTGCATGGTCATGGGTCATTGCTGGTCAGCTCTCACACCAAAAAGAGGTTTCTTGGTCACTAAAGACTCCCCTTTCCCACATAGGCCAAATACCAATGAAATGTTAAATTATTGGTCAAAATGTTGAAAGGAAACAAAAAATTATCCTACTCCTATATTAAAATAGCTCAGATCTCTCATTAAAAGTTGCTTCTCTGGATGGGGAGAAGAAAAAGGATGTAATGATATACTTACATGTGAATAAAAAGTTAAATGCTTATATGTTTCAACATTCAAAAATCTTTATTGTCTAGTTCTTTAGCTTACCCTTCAAGGCCTGAACACACAAAGTCTGCATCAGAAAGCAGATGGACTCTGTTCCTTTGCCTATGAAAATCTTATTTACAATGTTGTATATTTCACACGGTGACCTCATATCTGGAACCCATTCCTTTCCCCATCTGCAAAGAACAACTGTTCTCATCCATGGGGAGGGGGTGAGGGGGGAGAGGCTCTGGCTGGAGTCTCATGATGTCACAGGCCAGGAGGAACCACTTAAAACTCTATGAAATGAGAGTTGTTATATCGATCAGTTTTTTATTGTTTTATTTTACTATCACCAAACAGTTGTTTCAAAAGCAAAAGTTAATAGGACAGAGCAAAAACTAATACAACTGCAGAATAGTTACCTCAGGTTATCTGTGTGAATTCTATCATCAAAATCATAAGCAATTTTTCTTTCAAGTTACAATAACTGAAATTCCCCTCATTTTTCTTCAAAGACAATAAGTACCTTAATCCTTTATTGAATCAGTAAATAACTATTCAATAAGCTTATTAAGCATCAATCAAATGCCAGGTATGTAGGAATAAGATATGACCCTGCCCAAAAGGAAGTAAATAATCTACTTGAGGAAACATAAATGTCAGGACATGAATACGGGTTTAACATAAAGGGAAGCCCTGACTGGTGTTGCTCAGTGGTTTCGACATCACCCTGCAAAGCAAAAGGTCACCAGTTTGACTCCCATTCGGGGCACATATCCAAGTTGCAGGCCAGGTTGCTGGGTGGGGGCAGGTGATAGGCAACTGATTGATGTTTATCTCACACAGTGATGTTTCTCTCCCTCTATTTCTCCCTCCAATCCCCTCTCTAAAAATAAATAAATAAACTACTATAAAAGAAAAATAAAATAAAATGTAAACCAAGAAGTCAGCTTCAAGAAGAGTGGCAATAGCCAATTCTGCAGAGAAGTAAAATAAGACTTCTGAAAGGGGGTGACACTTCGCTCAGGACTTAAAGGTTGAGCAAGATGACATCAAGACAGTGGGAGAAGGCACCCCAAGCACCGGGAACAGCACGCACAGGGTCACAGAGGAGTCGAAGAGCAGAGTCTCCACGGGAAAAGTCTGAAGGTTGGGGTAAATGGAGCAGAGCGTACCAGGAAGAAACGAGGAAGACGAGAATGGAAAGGCACAACGGGTCCACGCACGTGGAACGAGGTGAGAAACTGGAGTTCAGCGTGTGGGCTGCATGAAACACCACACGTGTGTGGACTAACGAATGGACAAATGGCCAACTCTCCTGAGAGAGGCTTGTCAAAGAAATCCAAGGGAAGCTTTTTTTTTTTAAGCCAATAGGACTTCTAAAGTCAGAAGATCAACTCAGTTTATTAAAAAACAGTTTTCCATTCAAGAGTTTATATTAATCGCCCTGGCTGGTATAGCTCAGTGGATTGAGCACTGGCCTGCAAAGCAAAGGGTCCCAGGTTTGAGTCCCAGTCAGGGCACATGCCTGGGTTGCGGGCCAGGTCCCCAGTTGGGGGTGTGCAGAAGGCAACCATACACTGATGTTTCCCTCCCTCTTTTTCTCCTTCCCTTCCTCTCTCTCTAAAAAATAAAATGAATTTTTTTAAAGAGTTTATATTAATCACACATGCACTTGACTACAGGGAAATACAAAAAAATGGTAAAAAAGGAAGAGAAGATGATACTGTCTATTAATTGGCTGGATCTCCAGCCAAAAACACAAACATAGAAGCTGAGCTCTCAGAACGAGAAAAAAGCAGAACACAGTCAAAATTTTCAAGTGAGCCGGGTAACACATGGCGATACTTCATTATCCAAGAATTATGAAACACGCTTAATTCAGAGGACACGTGCTCTGCCCCCCTCTACCTCACTGCCCACCACCTGCCTCACACTTCCGGCCTGAGGAGGCCTCAGCAGCCCTACCGCACAGCGTGTGGTCGGTCGGCTCGTGTTCTCATCGGTGCCACTGCCCTCCACGCCTTCTTCCCACACACGTCACTCTTTGAACAGACCAAGCTGGTGGTCCTTCAACATCCACAGCAGACGGCACCTCCCATGGTTTCCTGATTTCCCCCAACTGCTCTCCCACGCCCCCGGCCACACTTTTCCCTCAGCGCTGACCATCTACCTGGCAATCACCTGTCCACATGGCTGCCAGCCTCCCCCTGGGCTACAGCTCACAGCGCACAGAGGTGGCCTCCTCCACAGTCATCCCGAGGGTACCCACGTGCCTGCTCTTCACTGCAGACTGTGCCTGGCTAACAGCAGATGCTCAATAAACATTTGCTGAGCCAAACCACTGTACTAGCTTTTAAAAGTATTTTGTAAACTATAAAACACTCAACAAATACTGTCTGCTGCTGTTCATGGTTTCCCTTTCAATCTTGTTCTGTCACTCAGCTTTCATGGGCTCGAGGCAAACTGAACTATCCATGCTTCTTCTAGCCAAACCCATTTCCCACTTTCGTCTACTGGTCCTTCCATTTATAAAGCACTTTCTCTTATCTCATAGAGATTGCACCGGTCCATGGCCTGCATCAACAACATCCCTTCCAACACCACATTCCTGGGCAGCCCGAACCGGAAAGCTCCTGCCTCTCAACCCTCAGACCACTGCGCTCTCTCTGCCCTGCGGCGCTTATTACCTCTAATGGCACTGTAGGTCCCAGAAGTGAGAAGCCCTGTGCCTGTTATACCGTCATTTCTTTCAAAACACACAGCACAGAAAAATAGACGCTTTACTGAAAAAACAGATTACTTCTGATCCCACACATCCAAGGAATAGCCTTCTAGTGGGATTTAAGCACCTGGATAAGTGTTCCTTTCTTCAAGCCTTCTGAAACATCCTCCTTGGACATGTAATTTTCAAATATGCTCTTTTTCTTCCCTCGTGTGGACTTGTTCTTTGACTTTTTGTCACCTGGCGAAGCACCAACACCGCGTGGGCCGACCACAGAGGACACACCTAGAAACATGAGGCAGTAATCAACTCTTTTCTCAATCAAACGTCTCTGTATTTTTAAAACTGAAGATATTTTCCCCTTTTTTTAATTTATAAAAACCGAAAAGAAAATGAAACTCCCCGATAAAGATTCTGATAGCCACAAAAAGGCAAGAATAAATGAGAAAACATGGATAGAATGCATACGGAGACAGCTGTTGAACCAGCACCACAGTATTCATGGAGCATAACCTGGAGTGATAGGGGCAGTGTGCTTTCTGCTTATACACACAAACCTTTTAAAAACAAGAGTTACTAAAAGATTGCCATTTTTCAAGAGGAAATTAAATAGCTGTGCTCAATAAACAACAAATTAAAGACAACAAGAAACAACACTTAATTCTAGAATAAATGACACAAGAGAATATTTAACAAGTCACTAAAAGAATTAGTCCCCCTCAGCCCTAAGACCCGCCCCCACCTCCACTCCAGCTACATGCCAGGTCTCTAGCTGCCAGCGTAGACTCCCCATTCCTTTTGCTACCTCTGAGGCTCCCCGGGTTCAGCCTGAAGTCAGGATGGCTCATTGCTGGATCCACGGTTGCCTCTTCTCTCCAGACGCAGGGCGGCCTCCACTGCCCAGGCTCAGAGTCCTTCCCGTCTTGAGCAGCTCAGGTATCACAAGCTGAAACCAAAGAGAAGTGGGTGACTGAAGAGCAATTAACCTGCAGCCTCCTCTGTGCTCTCGGACATTTAGTGCTTGGATGGCAAAGGCGACGCGGTGCCCTTCGTGGCTCCTGGTATCCCTTTCTCCTGGGCAGTGAGTCAAACACACCATCTGGCATGAGTTTCTTTTCAAGGCCTTTACCTTCACAGGTATCACTGGCTTGTTTGTTTGGGCCAATTCAACTAAACACTTCCACAAATGAGCAGCAAGGTAGAAATTAAGGAGTTCTGCCATTCTATTCATAGTCAGCTTCTGAAATGCACAAGGGCAGGAGGGAATATGGTTTTGAAAAATGGTATAAAGACCTAGAATTAAACACTATAATGAAATAGGTACTAAAGTAGGACTCAAGAGACATGGCACTGCCTAAGTTTAACCTTGAACAAAATGACATTCCTCTACAAAAACAAGTAATCGATTTCTTAGAGTTCATCAACAAAACCTGATTCATTGCCACAACCACAGTCCAAAACCATTCAGGGAACCCAGGATGGTTCGCTAACTTTCAAAAAACAGAAACATGGTAGTTAAGCATCTACTTCACTACTCTTACCTGCCATTATTTCAAACCAGTCATCTGACCAGAGGCTCAGGCAGCTGCTTCTAAGGAATACAAGGCAGCTGCTTGGATCAGCAGACTGGGATACAGGGCCCTGCAGCTGGCCCCCGACCTGCCACCTGGACACTGAACATGTCATCACAGCTTCTACTTCCTACACGGTGCTGGCCACCAGCCCAGGACCTAAGCCTACACTTGCAAATTTCCAAAACCCTGGTAAGCAGCCTTTATGATTTCCCATAAAATGGATCAAGATGTCATTCTGAACGCTAGCTTCCATTTCCTCTACATTTCCCACAAACATCCTTTACCAAAATGATGTAATTTTTCTTTAAAATGAAATTAATATAACCCAAGAGAAGAGCAGCAGCAGAAACAAAAGGTGACAGGTCATTTAGTGATACATGAAGGGATTCAGAAAGTCAAAAAAAGTGCAAGGAAGAGATCCAATGGTCTTAGATCAGTGGTTTTCAATCCTTCTCATGTCACGGCACACATAAACTATAAAATTCTGCAGCATGCCAAAAGTATACTTTTTGTAGACCTAACCAAAAAAAAAGATATAATTTTGATTCATTCACACCAGACAACTACTGCTGTGTTGACTGTCGTCATTATTTTATTTGATAATCAAAGGGAAAGGGGGGCAGTGCCCCTGACTAAACACTCGGGTATTTCATGTCTTAAACATTCTTGTTCGTATGCGCTGCGGGATAAACAACAAGGCCGCAGGAAAGGCACAGCCTGGGGTCCAGACTGTCTGATGGTCTACTTCCGAAATGCTTTCACCCACTCGTTCGTTCAACAAATACTTCCGCAAGGTACCGCACTGGGCACAATGAGGGATATGAGAACTCATAGTGAACCAACAATTGATACAAGTTGGGAAGTGAGAGCAATAATTTTTTAAGTATGGGTAAATGTACATATGATAGAAGAGAAAGGGTATCTCCAGCTCAGGAAGTCCAAGAAAGCTTCAGAAAAAAATTTTAAGGAAGAACTGAGAATGTGAGAAAAGCATACTGCTGGCAAAAGGAAACAAAAAAAGATACATCGCACGGGCAGGTTCTTGCAACATTCATTCCATTTGGATGGAGTCCAGTCTATAGGAAGGGAAGCAGTGGCCAGAAAAGTGAAACAATATGGAAGGTCTGGAGAACCAGCCCAGTTTTTCAAAGAGGGGGGAATTTGTGAAGGCTAAGTGAGCAGGAGAAAAGAACAGATCAGAGTCAGGGAAAATTAACCTGTTCAGGATTCAAAGTCATCAGCACTTGAGAAAAACCAGCAGCAGCTGCACCTTAGGAAAGAACTAGAACAGGCTGGGGAAAGGAAGGCCTGAACCAGAGTGGTACAGGCAGAGACAGAAAGGAAGAGACCCTTCATATGGTATCACACAGGGTCAAGGGGCACCGTTTGGCAACCAGGTAGATCTGGAGGAGGGCAAGGAAGTGGCAATTGCGTCAGATTCCAAACAAGACTGGGGAGTGATAACATCACTAAGTTAGTGAAGATGATGAATTCCACTCAGGGTACTGTATACCTTCATGTGAAAATAGATACCTTTATATATATCTCTATGCATGGAAATACATACCTCCACCTGTACCTATGCACCAAATAATTGGAAACCAGGGCACAGCTTAAGAGATAAATGAGCCAGCCATTTACATAAAAATGGTACCCCAAAGTTTTCTAGAATGGATGAGATTGTCAAGAAAGAATAAACTAATACAGAAGAAGGCCTAGGACAAAATCTGGGTTAGGGCAACTTTTAGGAAATGCAAACAGGAAGAAGAAAATATAACAAAGAAGCTAATAAAGATATAGGAAAATAACTGACAAATTTTTTTTTTAAAGGGAAGAAAATAACTTCCAAAGATAGGTTCATGACCAGAGTTTGCACCCACTACTAAATAAGAATACAAATAATGTCAACCTTGGGTAGGGCAAAGGTTTGGGAGCAAGCTGCAGGCAGGAAAAAGAATGCAAAACGAGCCACAACTGAAATGGGAGTACTTCACATCAAGTCCTGAGTAGGCCAGAGTTCAAAATTAGGGGGAGTTTACCGCCACTTCAGTGAGATGGAGGCACAGGAATCTCTGACGTAACTGTCCCTGGGTTGGCTGCACCAGTGACTTCCCTTCACATATATCCCAGCTGGTGTGATTATAGCTAACCTGTCTCTCTCACTAAGACAAGGAGTGTTTGGTTGCAGTCACCATTGTAATCCCATTGGCTCCCACAGTACCTAGGAGATAGTAGATACTCAATTATTGCTCCTTAAATAATGAGTTTGTTTTCATACACAAGCAGTGAGAACACCAAGCAAAGCAGGGTCATTCCAGGAAACCACAGTAAAAAAAAAAAGTCAGCAAAGAATGGGAGAAAAAAAATAAATAAGACCCAGGAAACAAAGTTGGCAAGGATAAGCCAGACAGCTGGTCAGGGAGTCAAAGCTTGCCTTTGGGGATCAAAGTACTGGGAGAGGCTGCAAAGATTCCAAACATATATTCCAAACATATATGATGCTAAGCGGATGAGCAAATAAGCAACTTTCCCTTCTTAGTGATATAGTTGTGAATGCCCCTTAACCCTGGAGAAACCCTGGCACTCCTACCTGACAAGCTGAAAGCACAAGGTAATTTCTAATCCTCACCAGCTTCCAGAATGGGGCCACTGATATGCTGCTGCCCACCTGCCCAATGGCTCCCAGGGAGGAGGTTTTACCATGGAAATGACCGAACGTTTTCATTCTGAAGAGTTGGGCTGGGTCAGGACAGATAGGCAGTAATACTAACAGAATGAGGAGGAAAGGGGAAGCACCGAGTTGAAAGAGAGTAAATCTGAAGAAAGCATCTGCGTGAAAGAAGTGATATCTTGAGACCCTTTATACTCCCCAAACCTGCACAATTCAGAGCAGGTGAACGCAAAATTTAAACAAATGAAGCCAATTTGGGACAAAAACCACAGGTTACAGTAAACATAACTAATGAGAAATATGAGTTGCAGGGCCAGGGCCAGGGCCAGGATGAGGCAAGCAAGGCACGTAGGACACAAATTTCCTAAAACTGAGTTATACGAGTGCCAGCCCCACACTCTGCAGGCCTCCCGAGGGCGACTGCCTCATGAAATGTCTGTGCCGTAGGCATCTCTCCTGCCTTGTCCTGGTTTTGGCCCTGATGAGTAGCAAGAGCAGATGAAATTTATGAACCTGGGTGGTGAAGGAAACTCAAGGAGATAAATTCAAAAGAAAAGTTTAAAGAGTGAAAAGGCTGAGCCTACTCAGAAGCTAAGAAGGGGCCCATGGAAAGCAAGAGATGGTAAAAACAAGTAGAAAAGGGCACAGTTGACAGATTTTTTTAAAGGATGAAATTAAAATTAATCTCACTGCAATTAAGGAAATAAACTATTTGCACTATGAATCAATGGGACATATATGTAACAGTCAACACTACTTAATACCATTTTTTAAAAGAGCCAATAGATCCCCACTTCATAACATTCTGAAATAAAACTCGGTGTGAATAGAATTTAAATGTTTAAAACTAAGACAAAGAGAAAGAGACAGAGACAGAGAGAGAAAAGGCAAGGAGACTCCCAGATGGCTGAATGAGGAATGTGACAAATGGTATCCCCAACAACAAAAGTGGACAAAATTATCCAAACCGACCATTTAAGAATCTGGATATTTTCCAAAGACATCCAACAAACTGAGAAGTGTTTATTCAAGAAAATCCACTGAACCTCAGTAAGAGCAGTGGGTATGCGTGGTGACTGAGGCTGGGGCTCCCACCAACCCACATCCGTTCCCCATTCCGTGACGTGTAAGTCCCACTAGGTCGGGGCAAACTGTGAAGACTGGCAGCTCCACTGCCAGAGAGTTAAATTCACCTGGATCGGGAGAACTCCATGCCTAGGGGCGTTTTCAAAAACAATAGTGATTCAAAAGGCAGACAAACCAGGGAAGGCCAATATCACAGTCAGCCGGAATTTGCCACACTAGTTAGGGCAAGCAGAGCTACCAGGAACTGACACGGAGAATCAGGGAACGACACAACCCCATGGGCCTTGGGAAGAGTCTACTTTTTCCTGCTGTGTGCCTGCACAAGACTATAAACATGCAGGAGAGAAATGAGAGGGCCCTAGGGAGCTACTCATGCCTGGATGAGTGTGAGCCTTGCAAATACAGGAAGCCAGGGCAGGCCCATAAATCCCCTGAACCTGAAATGCACTCCCCAAGTCTCACAAGAACTACTGACAGAGGGTTTAGGTGCCACTGTTTCAAGGAGTTGAAACACAACCTCTGACCAATCACAGGCTGATTACAAGGATATACTGATCCAAGGGCAACTACTAGAAAGTCAGGCTTAAAAACAAGAGCCTTGGCCTGGTGGCTCAG